TCCTTATTGTCTTCAGCTCGAAATAATCCGCATACCAGAGTGGTGCTTCCTGGGGCAGCTTGCCCTGAGCACCACCAGAAGCAAGGAAAGGAGATGAATGCTTTTGGTTTTAACCCCATATATGCTGAGTTTAATGTAGGGGAACTGATATCAGGGCTGGCATCACTTTGACTCCACATAACTCTCCAGACATAAATTCATCTTTCTTCCAATACTCAGAGCAAATTCCTTTAAACCTTTCTAGCCTTACTCTACTTCACAGGGTGTTCTTCTCCATCACTCCGTTGAAACCCCTCTGTGGAGAAAAAGATGGACTGTTAACTTGCTTGCACAGTTGATCAACATTTTGTTTCACAATACTTGAATTATACCCAATATTTCACGTGGTGGACACCTCCTTTCTGTTAGAAAGACTGTCTTTTCTAGATTTCTATCACACCATGATCCCCTGGGTGTTCCACATCTTTTCTATCCTTCTATTGCTGCCTCTTAAATTCCCTTGACCCGGTGCTTCCATTCTTTTCTTCTCTATCTACACAGTTCCTTCCTTGTTGATCTCTTTTAATCTAGTCTCCTGTCTTTACATTCATCTGCATACAAATGACTCCTAAACCTATCTTCACACCTAACAACTCAAAAGATATCTAGCCTAAAATATCTAGCTTCTTATCTGACATTTTCACTTAGATATTCAATAGACATTTCAAATTTAACATGTTTAAAAGAAAACTCAATTCTATGCACACACCCTGCTTTACTCTATTCCAACAAATATATCTACCACCCACTTAATTGTTCAGTCCCAGCACCTGGGGGCTTCTCTTGATTCTCCTATTTCCCTCACACCCCACATTCTATTCATCATCAACCTCTACTATCCACGCCTTAAAAATATATCCCCACTTGTAGTACTTCTTATCATCTTCACTCCTAAAACTCTAACCCATGCCAGGAGTGCCTCTCCCCAGAACCCATGAAAAGCCTCCAAAGAGGTCTTCCTACTTTAATGCTTTTACCTATGTAGGATCCCAAAAAGGAAACCCCAACTCCAGTCTCGGGAAGGCGCGGACCCACAGACACAGAAGACCGAGCTTGATGCAAATGCAAGAGGTTTTATTAAGCGGAGCTCCGGGTCGACACGTATCTCTCACAGGAGACAGAGGAGTCGACCCCGAACCTTAAGGGGCAAGCTCTTTTATAGGATTCGGAAGCATAAAGCGGGAAAAGGTTGGCGCGGTCTTACATGATTGGCTAATTTAAAACATTTAAACAGTTACATTTTATGGCGCGAATTGCTATGGCGCGAAGCAATTATCAGGTTACACACACGCGTCCCCATCTGGACCCCCTCCACCCCGACCCTCCCAAACTTATCCCTCTGGAGCACTCTCTTGTTCTCAATTTTCCCCGAACAGTTTAGGGCGAGTCTTCTATGAATAGAGTCAGTCAGGATCGATAAACCTTCCCCCTTATACCAGGAATCCTTAGGGTGTGGAGGTGCCTGTCTCTAAGGTATTAACTTTTAAATTTTTAATATAATTTACTTCCTTCACCTACAGTCCATTTTCTATAAAGCAGCCAGAGTAACATCCTCAGCATATTAGTCATGATCTGGCTTTTCTTTACTTGAAATGCATCAATGGCTTTTTATTGCAATGTAAATAAAGTTCCAACTTCTGTATCACAGTCCTCCTGATCTGGTCCCTACCTGTGTTTCCTATAAGTCATTTCAGACCAGCACAACTGTCCAGTCTTTTGAACATGCCTCCCCTATTTCAGTACATTGACACCTGCTATTATTCCTAGGTGGAAGGCTTTATACTTGGATCTTTCTATGCCTGCTCCTTTCCTGCTCAAAGATCACCTGCTCAGAAAGTTCTTCCTTGAATACCATAGTTTGAGAAACCCGCCACTGATTCCCACTATCCCATTGTGTTATAGTATTTCTTGTATAAGTTACGTTATATTATGAATTATAGTTTTCCCAATTTTATTGAGATATAATTGACATATAACATTGCATTAGTTTAAGGTATACAAAACAATGAGATACCACCTCACACCTGTTAGAATGGCTGCCATAACAAAGACAAGAAATAATAAGTGTTGGCAAGGAAGTGGAGAAAAGGAAACCTTTGTATACTGTTGGTGGAAATGTAAATTGGTGCAGTCACTATGGAAAACAGTAGAAGGTTCCTCAAAAATTAAAAATAGAACTACCATATGATCCAGCAATTCCACTTCTGAGTATATAACTGAAGGAAATGAAATCACTATCTCAAAGAGATATTTGCACCCCGTGTTTATTGCAGCATTATTTACAATAGCCAAGGCATGGAAACAACCTAAGCATCCATTGATGGATGAATGGATAAAGAAAATGTGATATATACATATAGGCTGTTTATTTAACATATTTAAGTTTTTATTGAAGCAAATTAACATAAAAAATATTAAACACACAAAAGTTTGAATTTGATAATTTTCTCAAAGTGAACATTGGTTGTATAATCTGCATCCACTTCAAGAGGCAGAAAACCCCAGAAACCCATCCATGCACCCTTCCAGCCACTAACCTTCCAAAAGCATAGTTTTTCCTGGATCTATACTTTATATAAATATACTCTTTTGTGACTTGCTTCTTCAGTTCAACATTATGTTTTTGAGGTTAATCCGTGTTGTTGCTAGTAGTATTAGAACATTTATTCTTATTGTATGGATATGTCACGGTTATCCATTCCACCATCATTAAGCTTTTAGGTAGCTTCTGATTTTTGTCTGTTACCACATGTCTTTTGGTGAAGATTATGCAAACATGTCTGTTAGAAATTCACCCAAGGAGGTACCTGCTGGGGCACAAGTTTTCGATATGTTCAGCTTTGGTCATTGCTGCTACATACACTGTGGTGGGAATATAAGTTGTTTACTTGCTTGCTTGCTTGTTTTTTTATTTAATTTTTATTGTCTTTCCCCCATTGGAATATAAACTTCTGAAGTGCAGGCGCTTTGACTGTCTAGCTAACAGCTATGATGAATGAAGGAATAAATGTATGAATGAATGAGGAAACTTTATCTGAAAGAAGCAGTGCTCGATCAATCACATTCCTTGAAACCCTGTGATCTAGGGCACTAATTAACAGCGTTTACCCTGCAGAAGTTCCTTACATCCCTGACCTCCACTGTTCTCATCTGTAAATTAGAACTCGTGAGTGCTTCATTTTTTTATGAGGTTGTCAGAGGATGATAAACCTGATAAGGATGTAAATTAAGTTTTAGACAGATTTACCAATATGATTATAATTATTTACATTAATAATTCAATAAAGTAATCCCTTTGATCCCTGAGTGAACTCCTTATATAATGAAATGGGACATTAAAAATGATTTGCCACATCCTTTCTGTCCTCAATTCCTGGATCATTGGGAAACGTGGATACGAATCATGAACTAACTCCTATTACCTGGCATATACATTTTAGTTTGATGACTTTGTGACATATTTGAAAAATAATTTTAGTATTCTCCCAATTCATATCCCTGTGTGTTTCTCCAACATCTTAGAAACCCTCTCAGGCATACAGTGACCTCATGTTGTCTTGTCTGGGCAATGTCCTTCAATCTCATCCATCAGTTATAACTTATCTGACAAATAGTTTTCACAAATGTGTTGCAAACAAACAGAAGTTAAATACTGCATTTCTTCATAAAATAATAAAAAAAAAACCCTAATGATTGTAATCAGTACAATAGCTTTTTGAGAAAATTATATTCTGTGACTCTTCATACCACCTGAAAAATTGGAACACAAAGGTAGCTACCCAACCATCTTTCTAAAAGGCTGTGTCAGAGTATTACTCTAACAAATAGAAAAGATTATATTTCTTTTATACTTAGATGGTAAGCTAGACTTATACAATAATATCATATATCCAAAAAGTACCATCTTTCCTCCTGCACTCCTCAACATAATCCACACCATTTAAAATTGCACGCAATTTATTTTACCTCTAAAAGATAAAATTGCAGAGCAAGAAAATTTAATTTGTGTTTCTGGCAACTAGTGGGCATTTATTTTGAATGCATGTGAACAGGGCAGGAGAAAGGGGAGATATAAGAAAAGAATGAGGAGATGAAGGAAGGGAGACCAAGAGGAAACATTTTTTATTTTGACTTATTTTTGTCTGCACAGTTGAACTCTACCCTCCAGTTTAACACTTCATTGAGAGCATGGTCACAGTGGTCACAGAGACTTCCATTCACCATCTATGGGAAGAATCCAACCTCAAAAGTCACCTCTTGACACTATTTGTGTACTCTTGATTCTGCCCAGTGCCCTCTTCAGAGCTCCGGTCACATCCTTGTTCCTCAGACTGTAGATGAGCGGGTTCAGCATGGGTGTGAGGATGGTGTAGAACACAGAGAAGACTTTGTCCTGAGCTGGCCTGTGGTAAGAATGTGGCAGCATGTAGGTGTACATGGCAGCCCCGTAGAACAAGGTCACCACTATCATGTGAGATGAGCAGGTGGCAAATGCTTTCTTCCTCCCCTCCACTGAGGTCATGCGGTGAACTGTGGTCAGGATTTGGGCATAGGAGGCAATCACCACAGAGAAAGGAATCAGCAGCATCAAAACACAGCACATGTACATCACTGTCTCATAGAGAGCTGTGTCTGCACATGCCAACTTCAGGACCGCAGGCGCCTCACAGAAGAAATGGTTAATCTCACGGGAATTGCAAAAGGGGAAGCTCATGGTGATGGGGGTTAGCAGAAAGCCATCCAAAGAGCCCCCAAACCAGGAACTTGCTATGATCATCCAACAGACCTTTCGGCTCATGAGAACAGGATAGCGGAGGGGATTGCAGATGGCCACATAGCGGTCATAGGCCATGAGGCCCAGCAGGAAGAACTCAGCTCCCACAAGGGTGAGGTAAAGGAAATGCTGAGCTGTGCATCCCACAAAGGAGATGGTCCTTTGACCCAGCAGGTAATCAACCAGCATCTTGGGCACAATGGTAGAGATGTACATCATGTCGATGAAGGAGAGGTGGCTGAGCAGGAAGTACATGGGGGTGTGGAGGCATGAGTCAGTGCGGATCAGGAAGATCATGACCCCATTGGCCATCACCGCTGTGAAAAAGATGACAGAGATGATGGCACAAAGAAGGCCTGAAATGTCCTTTCTGTTGAACAGCCCCATGAAGGTGAAATCCGTAGAGGATGTGTTGTACCTTTGCATTGATCCCATGATGGCTCAGCTATGACCTAAAATTTTCCAAATAAAGTGATTACATATGCACAATTAATGTAATAACATACAAGTTGATTGCTAGGCAGTGAACTTCTAAAAGTTGGAAGTAAACATTTAAAAATATTTTTCTTGGTACTTTGGCACTGATACCTAGCAACTAATCTATTCTAGAATGTTTTTAAGTAAAATTCACCATTTAAAATCAACAATTCCTTAAATGCATTGGACAAGATGATACCAGCAGATACTATTTTATGACAGTGATACACATAACAATGTCTAAGTGTGCACACCATGCCACTTGGCAGTTAAACATACCCTAGTCTGATGTGTGTGCACGTGTGTGTGTGAACATACTATCTCAGATGTATTCAAATAAGTATCTTTATTAAATAAATTTTTATTATAATTGGCATCATCGCCATCTTCAAAATATCTCACTTCTGGTTGTGGGTAGTCTATGTCTACCATTTAGCCACAAATACAGGTGATCTACCATTTGGTCCATGAGTCACTGTCTACATGATGAGTGTACTTTTAGTGTCAGTTCATCCAGGTTACAACAAAATTGTATGGGAAGAAATAAAGTGGGCAATAGAAACTACTCTTGCAAATTCAGACATGAAAACATCATCCATTACAAGAAGCATTCACTGTTTTAGAATTATTTTTAAGAAAGAAATTTCAATTTTAGAATGATGAGTAATTAACCTTAGGATTATGACTAGCATTAGCTATTAACAATTAACATTAAAAATTAGGATTCAGAGGAAATAGCACACGAACATAAGTACTGAGCTATAACCCACTTATTATTTTTGGAACTGGAAATTTTTCATAGTGATTGGTAATTAAAAACAGCTGAGTGACTGTGTATTATGTAATTTCAGGTGATGATAAGGGAAAAATATCCACAACAAACATTTTGAATGTTAAGGATGATTTTCATGTGTTTTAAGATTAAATATGACAAGTCAAGACATATTTTACCAACATGTTTGGGAGTTAAACAGATCAAACTAGTCAATAAATATTCTAAAAATATGAGCACTTGAGTCAATTGAGCTGAAAAAAATTGCTATTAAGAATAAGGGTAATGAAATTGTGAAGAGTTTACCTTGTGCCTATTTCTTCTTATCTGTTGATTCATTGAGCTTCACACTAAAGCTAAGAACTATAAAACCCACTTTCACCAATGGCAGAATTGAGAGTAATATTTCTGTGGTGCCACAGTCTGTTAGTGGCAGGAGTCTTTGGACCAGGCAGCCTCAATTCTCTCTGTTCTCTTACTTTATAGCCCAGAAAAAAAGCTAGACGTTTACCGCAATTGCCAAATAAAATGTGCCAATAATGTGAATCTGTTAAATTTTTAACTATATGTAATCTTCAATGTGACTAGCTATATGTAATCATTAGTGTGACTAGTGAAAATTAGTCATAATTGAGAGCACATGACATAAA